GGGCGACGAGCAAACAAGTGCTTTGAGTGAGTAAATATAGCTGGAAGACCCGAAAATGCAGACAGCAAACATATGAACGACGGCCCAATGAAAAAGAAATGTGCGTATAAAGAACTATAAAACACAAACATACAGAGACACAGACACTGCAAGACTTGGGAGCAACAAAAACCTAGAAATGTCAATAGGCGAACACGAGGAAAACCATCAGCCACGACAATATTGGACCCACATTCAAGGCGAAGAAGGTGCCTTCCGTCGGCCTGACTCAAGGAGGCCGATCAACTAAAATGCCTATAAAATATTTATAATGTGCGTGAGTTGTGTGCACTTCGTTTCCCGCTTCCTTACCCAAACACCGAGGGCATCTATTATGCACCCACATCTGTGGGTATTATGTATTGGATTGGAAACCGTTTCATTCACCCCCTTCCCATGGCTCTTCTTCTTAATTTGGCTGGCGTGCCAGAGGCGAGAAGAAGCAGACGCCATAAACCAAAAGCAGCCAAAACACTTGCGAAAATAAAATAAAATCAAACATACAAGTTTAAATAGCAACATCTCTTTGCTAAAAATAAAATCTTTTGGCGAACAAAAAGCCAGCAACAAAAACGAAACTCAACTGATGGTTGAACTTTTGGCAATGTACAGTATTTGTTGGGAAATTAAAATAAATCTGCTTTTTGGAAATTTGTTGTCTGTCACATTCAGTAAAGAATTCATTACAGATCGCTGGTAAAACCGAATAACTTAAGAAATTTTTAATTTATCTCAAATGGTCTCTGTTTCCTATTGCGTTAAAGAATTCAAGATTATTGGTTGAGTTAATTGGAATATCTTGATTTAAATAGATTTATAACTTCAAAAATAATAACACTTTTTAGTGCTAAACGCTCGCAAACATTCATTCTCTATCATAATTATAATCTTATCGCTATCAAAATATCCATCTGTTTCTACGCCTGATAGCAAAGAGCTACAATACGCTTATGGGAAAATTTATGGGAACAACCTACACTTCCGTTGCTTAAGAGTGTGGTTTTCTTAGCGTTTATCAATGCAAAATTTTAAAAATAGTCATAAGCCGATCATTTCTACGCACAATTTTAAGTGTTGCTTGAAACCGGGATGTCGAGTTTGAAATACAATAGGTTTGGGACGTACCGAGGCCGCAGATTTCCAAGCAAGACCCAAAACCAGCGTGCATGTTTTGTTTTGCTTTGATTTCTATTAGGAGTTTATTGCTAAGAATTGGGTTTCGTTGCTGTAGAAAGGCACCATTTCAATGACCACTCAAGGGGTTACCGGCACTTACACACAGTTAAAACTAGCCATTTGCCAAAAAAAATGTTAATTCATTGTTTACAATGTTATTATATGGAGCAAAGAAAAGTATACATGTATATACAGTTTATAAAAAACAAGAGAGAACGCTATAGTCGGGTGCCCCGACTATCAGATACCCGTTACGCAGGTAAAGGGAGTGCGAGGGAGATGGATTTTATAAACTTTGATCACGCATAACTTTTTAACGAATGGTCCGATTTGAAAAATTTCTTCTACATTTCGATAGGTATTGATAAACACAATAAAACTGCATTTTTACTTTTCCGAAATATTTAAATTTTTAAAATCGTATATAAGCGATTGTGGGCGTTAAAGGGGCGTGGCACCAGTTTGAAACAAACTTGCGCTGCGTAGGAACTCCTAAAATCTACATGCAAAATGCCAATCTTCTAGCTTTTATAGTTTCCGAGATCTCAGCGTTCATACGGACGGACAGACAGACGGACAGACAGACGGACAGACAGACGGACAGACGGACATGGCTATATCGACTCGGCTAGTGACCCTGATCAAGAATATATATACTTTATAGGGTCGGAAACGCTTCCTTCTAGCTGTTACATACTTTTGCACGAATACAATATACCCTTTTACTCTACGAGTAACGGGTATAACTATCACTAGAAGAGCCATTAATTTTTGGTTATTTAGACAAAAAATGTATGAACGGTTTAACCCCTTTAAGAAATCGGGCGGCATTTATTGAAGTGGCAAAGGAATTTGAGTTTGGGCAATCATAACTCACCTTGCTTGCCGTTCACGTCGCTGCATTTCGCCTAGCTAATCTCGATTGAATTTTGACTCAAAACTCGATCGCCTTTTCCGTGAATTTTGATAATGAATTTATATCGGCTGCCGCTGCTGCTGTTGTTGTGGTTACTGTCTGGCGATTGTTTTGATCCGAAATGCGATTTCTGTTCGCTGCACAAACTGGAGGATCTGAAGGATCTGTGGGATGCGTGCGAATTGAGCGAATTATCCTCTCAGCGCGTGAGTGTTCACGCACACTCGCACGCACTGGCACCCGCGCACTCACTCACAGTCACTTAGCGTCCGCGCATGTCGCGCATGCGGTAACGGGAGATCCGCCGCTCTCTCTTGTGCTCTCTCCCACTCGTTTACAGCTGGCTGGACGACACGTCAGGTGTGTGTAAGTAATGAGCTCGTCTCATTCGCTCCCGGCTCGGTCTTCGCTAGCTTACTGTTATTCCTGTTGTTCTTTTTCCTGCTCTAGCTGTTGTTGTTGTTTCTGTGGGATCGTCGTTCTTGTTTGACATTAAGTATGAATTTTGAGCAGCATCTCCTTGAATTTTCAGCTTTGTTGCTATATTTTTTTTAGTTTTTAGTTTTTTATGTGATTTTTGTGTTGGTGTGTGTGCTGTGTAGCTGTGTACAAATGTCAAAAGGCGGGCTATCTGTGGTAGAATTATTTAATTCCTATTGCTAAACCGTTGCTGCTGGACGATTGATCGAGTTTCGGGCTCAGCTTTATGTTCCGGTGCAAATTAGCCAAGTGTGTTGTGAGATGTAAAGGAAAAACAGTCTCGTGCTACGCTGAATAACTAGGTAAACAAATAATTTTGGCTAAACAATTTGACAAACACACTTTTGCACATTTTATCCAACAATTTGTGTGACAACAAATCTGAACACCGAATTGTATTCATTCAGTTTGTTGCTATGTTTTTCTCAGTCTCGGCTGACATTTTAGGCAAAAGTGTTTCTGCTGTTGAGGTGTAGTTAAATTTCAGCTATGGACAATTTAACCGGTCAGTTGCACACTTAAACACTTATAGCACAGGGCTCCAGCGCCTTGAAATCATAGCAATCTGTAAAAGAAGGAAATGACGTTTAATCATGCTGAACAGAAATAAAATATCATCTCGATGTCAAATTTAAATGGGTAGGTAAAAAAGATACTTTTACAATCTTCATATTGTTTTGATATGTTGTAAATAATGTTTAACTTATATGGATTTTAGAGCTTGCTATAAAACCGAGATGAAGTTCCACCGCTTCGCAATAAACGTGTTAATTTTTTAGAAGTATTAACATTATTTACTTTTTTTCTATGGTTACACGTTAAGTTTAAATGGGTTCTGTTTGTAAATTCTATTGGAACAATTTTTTTCTGTGTAGCAAATAAAGTTTATTCAATAGACTATATACTGTAAAAGTATTGCGGTATTTTTTGGTATGTTTTGGCTGTGCGCGCGCAGACTGGTCACACTAAGCAGGGTCGAGAGCGCTAACTAAATTTGCTTTTGCTCATTGATTTTCATTTAATTTTTGGAGTGTTATTATTGACCTCCGGCTTTCCACTTTTAATAATTTTGTTATACAAAATTAAGTTACATTTTCCTCAAGGGTAATTAATGATAATCTTGAAATGGATTGGAATTAGGCGAATTGGTTGCCTTGCCCCCGCTCCAAATAAAATGTTGGAAAAATCTCTGGGGCGCAAGGTCGAAGTAAATATTTTCGTACGTGGTTTCGTTTATTTTTATAAATTTTCACGTTTTGTTATTCGATGCAAAAAGAGTCAAAGCGGCGATGGCCAAAAAGAGAGGTAGAGAGAGCGACAGTGGGAGTAAGAGGCAGTGAGGGTGTAACTACTCGACTTTTGGCCATATTTTTTCAATGGGCTGCCTTTCTGCCAACGCATCACTGTTTGTTTTGTGCTGATTTGTACGCAAAGGAACAACTTTTAGGCTTAATTAATTAGCCAAATCGATTCTGACGATTTACCTTTTATACAGTTTTGCACGCATTTTCACTACGCCTCATTTTTTCACCCATACACTCACACGCACGCACGCACAGACACAGTTACACTCGTTCGGACCGAATTAAAATTTGCACTCGATTTGCAGCTGTGCGCTCGTCGCTTTCTCGATTACTACCTAATTCACTACTTTTTACATATTTAGCTAGGCTTATGTTTGTTTAATAACCAACGAAACTGTCCTCGAAAGACCAAAAAAGCACGCAAGAGGGCACGAGAAAAATGGTGCGATTTTTTCTCTTGCCTGCACACACACACACACTCGACATGGACTGAGACGATGGGAGACCGTGTTGGTAAAAGGAGGTAATACTGCAAGTGTATTTTAATACTGAATACTGACCAAACCCAAATTAGTTAATTATATTACCATTTCTTACTTGCTTTTCTTTTGTAAATAGTTATAAAATGTAATATGCTGCAAAAAAACCTGATTGCTCGTTACTTTTCATTAATTATAAAAGAAAAATACCAATCAAAATACCGCTGCACGTCGTAGCCAATTAGCCGGCAACTTTGTTTATCTACACTTAAACTTTATCTGAATAATGCACTTTTGTTTTAACTTTTCAAATGTTATATATTTAATTTAGAGGGCAAATTTTTGCTTAATTCATTTGATATTTCTTGCAGTAGACAAAAATTCTCCATAAAGACACTTACAAATGGCACTGCAAAAATCAGCACGACATTTCACAGCTTTCTATTAAGCCAAATAGTTGTTGTTTATAAGTATTGTCTTAGTGTATTACCTATTTTTTAATCTTTTAATTGTAATTACGTTCGATTTTTACAGTTTGTTTTCGCGACTGATTTATTCCTAAAAAACGAAACTGCCTGTTCAAGGGTGACCATGTTTCAATGGCATTTCAAATACCGAATAGTTTAATATCGCAGTTGCAACACGTGCGATTGTGTTCTCTCTCCAGATAATAAATAAATTATAATTTAAATAGGATTTGTACGTAACAATAATGATGTTGAAAGCTAAAAGGAAACCAGGAAAGTCGGTAAGCGAACGTAGATTGGGAAGGAGAGAGTATTTGGCCTAATATTTAAACGATACAGGATCGGATACCGAAAAAAACATCAAAGAAAGCCGATCGAGCGGATTCCCAGGAGGATTCATCTGCCGTGGATCACCTCCACCTGGAGCAGTCCACTCCCAGCAGCGACGATGGCTTCGATGAACCGGAACCCACACCCGCCAAGAAGAACCCAATCCAGGTCACTACCAAGCCAAAGAACAACAAGTTCAAGCAGAAGAACGAGACCAAAAATGTAAAGCCACCTACTCTGGAGGAGATGAAGGAGCTGCGCGATACCCAGAACCTCTTTCACTCCAACCTCTTCAAGCTGCAAGTCAAGGAAATGCTGGAGGAGCTGCAGCTAAAAACCAAGTACATGGAGTTTATCGACAGCTGGCTGGAATCCTTCACGGTCTTCACCCAACAGTTGAAAGATGGGTTGATGGAGCGAACTAACCTGGAGGTGCCTTTAAATCTGCAACAAAAACCATCCGGATTCGTTTTTTCCAAACCCACAAAGGAACCCTATCTGATTGGAGCCGCCGCTACGGGAACCCTGCTGGGTCCCAAGATTGTGGTGGATGTGGCTCTAGAGATGCCGAAGGAATCCCTGCACAAAGAAGATTACCTTAACCTTCGATATGACCAAAAGCGAGCTCTTTACCTCACCTACGTCACGGAAAGGATGCAGGAGTCGCCAAATTACGCCAACGATCAGTTCAAATTTAACTACCTCGCGAACAATCCGCTAAAGCCTGTACTCGAGTTGACCCCAGTAGCCAAGCAAGTGACCAAGCATCTGCAGGTGCGCCTGTTTATCACTGCTCCCCTTAGCAGCTTCAAGCCTGGTCGATTTGTGCCCTGGAACAACAATATTCGCCCCTCGTTCTATGGTGACGAGTGGGACGAGGAGGAGCCACTACCCTCCACCCAGCACTACAACGCCAACGTACTGTTCGATCTTACTTTGGCCGAGAACCAGGCACATTTGGAAAAGGCCTTTAAAGGCAGGCGCAACTTCCAGGACGGTCTTCTGCTTCTCAAAGTATGGCTGCGTCAAAGGGAATTGTGCATAGGCTATAGCGGCTTTGGCAGCCACATCCTAGCCGCCTACATTGTCTACCTGAACTCGCAGCGCATCCTGCACCAGTCGAGCAGTAGTTATCAGGTGGCTCGCACGGTTTGGAACCAACTGGCCAACACAGATTGGACCAAAGGCATCAGCCTGGCTCCAGCTTCAATTCAGACAGAAGAACTGACAAAGTTGGCTTCGCACTATGACGTCTGCTTCATGGACTTTACAGGCCAACTCAATTTCTGTGCGAATGTTCCGCTCTCCCTTTACCAAAGAGTTCGAGAGGAGGCCAAACTAGCCGTGGATCTGCTTAATGACATGAAGCTAAACAGTTTCCCGCTCATCTTCATGCAGAAGTGTCCACTGTACAGCCGTGTGGATAATATCTTGAAGTAAGGACAACCCTAAGCCTTATCTATAATTTCTTTAAAAATTAACACTTTTCTTTTTGCTTAGGATTACCAATTATTCGTGTGTGAATCAGATGCTTATGCTGCATTCCCAGCCTAAATTCAAGTATGATTATGCCAAATATGGCTATCCCCAGCTGCTTCAATTGCTGACAGAGTGAGTTGACGCTGGGATTCTTATAAACCATTAAACTTAAAATCCATATTTTAGGCTTCTTAAAAAGGGACTCGCCGAGCGTGTACAATCCATTATTCCCCTAGAAACGGCAACTACCGCTTGGCTAGTGGAAAATAAGGCTCCAAGCATTGGAAAGTACATTCAACTGGGTTTAATACTCCAGCCAGATCACGCCTACGAGGTGTTAAATAAAGGACCCGCGACCAACGAGGATCCAGAGGGAGCTGCAGAGTTCCGTCGGTTCTGGGGAGAAAGGTCAAACCTTCGGCGCTTTCAGGATGGCAGCATCACCGAAGCTGTCGTTTGGGGAACCGCCCAGGACTCCCCAGCCAAGAAGCGACAAATTGTTCGTCAGATTGTGCTTCACTTGCTGGAGCATCACCTACAACTGGAGGGCAAGGATGTGCAATTCATCGGCGCTGAGTTGGACCAGGTCTACCGCCTGTCTCCCTGGTTCAAGGTCAACAAACTGAAGACCAAGCTGATACTGGATCAGGACACAGATGCGGAGGCACTCAGTCCACACGTCATCCGCTGCTATGATGAATTGGCACGACAACTACATGGGCTGAATGGTCTGCCGCTGGAGATCGTCTCTATATCAGGCACATCACCCATATTCCGCTACTGCGAACCCCAGCCAGTGCTGCCACAAGCACGTGTGGCAGGCAAACACATTCTGGCCAGCCATGTGCAGAGGGTGGTTATCCAGCTGGGCCAGAGCGGCAAGTGGCCCAACGAACTGACTGCACTGCGTGCCCTTAAAACGGCCTTTCTTATTGAGATTGGCGAAAAGCTTGAGGCGCAGTGCCGCCTTCAATGGGTAATGTCCGCCGAAGGTCTTCTGGTACTAAAGCAGGGCTTTTGCTTTCTCATTGAGCTGGCCCACAGCAAGGAGCTGGCTTTGCTCAAGCAAGAGGTTACTGAACGTGGCGTAACCACATACGTAGATAACCCAGCAAGTCGCACTTTAGAACGCCATCACTACATACTACCCAAAGTGAGCGGCGCATTGCACTCACTCCATCAGTCCCTCTCTGCTTTCGGGCCCACTGTGATGTTGGCCAAGCGTTGGCTTGCCACCCAACTGCTGGACGATGGTCTGTGGCCTGAGATGGCCACCGAGCTGCTGGTGGCTCATCTTTTCCAGCAGCGAAATGCGCCACAAGCCATAGCGGCGCCCCAAACTGGCTTCATTCGGTTCCTGCAACTGCTCGCCCACAGCGACTTCACTGGCGAACTCTTTCTCCTCAACTTTAACAACAGCTGGCAGGGTAAGTCTTTATTTACCAGTCCAAGAAAATCCGATAATCAGTATCAAACACCTATTTAATTTAGAACAACAAGTAGCGGATCTGGAGCACAGCTACCGCAGCGACCGACAAAGTTATCCCCCCCTCGCTTTGGCCACTTCCTACGACATTCAGCACGCCGGACGCCTTTGGACCTCGGATCAATCACCCAGCCAACGGGTACTGGGACATGTGACGCGACTGGCCCGCCATGGTCTCCAAATTATCGAGACCAGCCTGATGTCAAAGGATCTGAGATTCGTGCGGCCGGCACAATTGTTCCGAGGTTCTAATGAGGGTTACGACTTGGTTATACAACTCAAGCCAGATCTGGTGCCCAATTCTCTGAGCTATGATCTGGGATCCCCATTCGTATCCTTTAGCCAGCCAAACTTCCATTTGCCTCCAGCCGGTGCAGATCGTATGGCCAGGATTGTGGGACAACTGAGGGTAAGAAATTAAAATAATTAAATATATTCGGAAATTTTCATGAGCTTTATTTCCATCTTAATAGTCTGCCTACTCCGACTTTGCTGCCTTCTTTTATAATCCTCACGGCGGCAAGGAACTGGCTATTGTGTGGCGGCCGCCCACGGATTTCGCACCAAAACCCTTCAAGGTCACCGAGCTGCAGGCCTGCAGTCCCTGCGAAAACGGCAAAGTCCAAGTTCTTAAAGAAACGCTGCTCGAGGATTTCAAAATGCTTCTTAAAGATTTCTACCTACGCATTTCCACCCCAGAGGAGCTAAAGCGGGAACAGCGGGAGCATCAACAGCCCAAGCGGTACTTCAATGCCAAGCAGCCGCAGGAGAAGTCAAGCCTGAAGCCCAAAAAGCAGAAGATTCAAAAGGACGCTGAGCAGGAAGCGCCGCCCAAAAAGAAGCGACTCATTAAAAGTTCGGCTCTGAAGGCCTTAAATTAAATTTAGACATAGCTTTCTGCTTATCTGTGTAAGTAAACTAATAGTTAAGTATAAAAGTTTTTTAAATGTAGAAAAAATGTAAAATATATTATATTTTTATAACCTCACGTTTTTGGTTATTTATATTATTGACCGTAAAATTTTTTAAAACTGAAATCTATTATGTTTGCATCGATTCGCGCAGTTTTCCTTATCATACAAATTGTAATACTATTTGCAATGTTATACAAATAATAGGGGAAGTAAATGTTATAAATATAAAAAGTAATAGAGAAGAAAATAGTTAAGTGTAACATCACAACTGTTTGTTGGCGTGTGCTGAATCCTTCTTACTGTGCTCCCGCACCAGTTCCTCGTAGTTAGGATTTATCTCGATAGGACCTTTCAAGTCGTATGTTAGTGTTTTTCTTGGCTTGGAGTCTGGAGCTTTGCTGAGAGTTTGTTTATAAAGAGATCTACTCAATGGAACTGTCCTATAAAAGCCCTGATCCTCCTGTTTTTGGAGCTTGTTCATTTGCTGGGTACAGGATTTCCCTTCTTGAGAACAGAAATCAAAGTGTATTTGACGCGATGTGCAAGGCTGCTCCAACGGACATCTGGGGGTCAGAAGTGGACGTTGTTGCTGCACTATCAGGTCGTGTTCTGTGCAAGTTTGTTGCGATTTGCAGCGCGGACAGGGATGAGTGGTCTCCTCCTCCGATGTATATTCACTTACATCCGATACATATGACTCGGTGGTGATCTTTCCCATAAGGTGGCTCGCTGAGGTATTGCAGCCCGTAGAGGTTGTAATGGGTTGCGTTTGGCAAGTCGAGTTCTTTGGCTCCTTCTTCACAATCGAAGTTTGACTGGGACTAGTCTGAGTTTGGCAACTCACGAGTCCTGGCGACTCCTTCTTCCCTATCGGATTTGGCCTAGGACTTAAACTTGGTTGAGTTTTGATAGAACTAGTCTGGGTTTGTGTGGTCGACATCAACCCGCAAGTGGAGGTGCCAGAGCTGTACCGCAGTGGAAAAACGGGATCCGATTCCGCTTTTATCTTGGACCAGCCCAGTTGAGTGGAAACACTGGCAACTGTCCGGCAGGGGATTTGCTGCAGGATCGGGCATGGAGCTTTGGTCGAGAGCTTCTCATTCTCACCGGGGTCCTTGTTCAGATCCAACTTGACTCTTTTTGTCAAGGACCGGGCGATAAGATCGTCAAGGGTGCAGAAAATCGAGGTGGTGGGCAGGGAGTAGGGCTCCAGAGCTGTTAAAGACAAATCCACGGGATAAAACTGCCCATTGGGCGCCAGGCGATTGTATGTTAACATCCGGATGTCCTCCACTCGTCGAATGTCCTGCTGTGTAAGCACAAACTTTTCATTGCCCACCAATATAGGAACTTGACAAAAAACAAAGGAGCTTCATTATTATAATGAACACAGAAGAGGTCGGAGCTTACTGTGCACAGCTGGTGCCGCCTCCTCGGATACTTGCATCACCTTCCTCACAGTGGAATTGTTGGTCATTGTCTTAGATTACCAGATAATTTTGGAAGTATACTCTAAATTCATCTGAGAAAATTACAAATGAAGACAAATGTTTTTGAACGAAACAAATAGAAAAAAGAAACCTTGATAGGCATTGTTCAAGAAATGTTTGCATTTAAAATAAAATACTAATTAAGCCGAGATAGGCAACTTATATTAAATGCAGGAAATGCACGCCATATTTTATTTATATTCGTTTCATTGGTAAAAGCTTACTATGTAAATCTGTGTTATCAAGTACTCAGTAAATATTTCTTAAATTCAAAAATGTATTATGATCGATATCGGTGTGAAAGATCAAAAACAGTTATAAAAGACTGATATTGAACAGAAGTAAATAATTTCTTAAGTTAAACGTACAGTTTGAATCATTCATTTTGAAGCAGCTTACTTTAGGGAATAATGGTTTCTCCACAAATAGTTATGTTTTTTCAGCCATAGGCCAAATAAAAGCAGAAGCTCACAGAAAAATACTTAATTGCAACATTCAATTATTTTAAAATTAAGTCTTCCTTAAGGAAAATATAACAGAAAGTTGTTTTCTATAAATATGTCTGGTTTGGTCAAAATGCGTAATTTAGATACGGATCTCTTTTCTTAACTGCGTATTGACTCCTCCTTGACGTTGGGCGTAATACTGGCGCCCGTCGTTAGTGGATCCTTCTCCTTGTTGCCAAAGTCCGGGTACAGTTTGGCCACCTGACCCAGTGGAGTGCAAAGACGACCCGAAAAATCCAAGCGCTTGTTGGACTGACTTCGCTCTGCAGAGGAGATGATATCGAGCAGGGATCTGGCGATAATACAATGATTAGTATAGGTTTATTCAATAAAGACCGGCCTACCTTTGCCCACAACTAGACATGCGGCGCTTGCTAGCCTTAAGCAGGCTATTGGAGTTGCTGCTGCCACTGGCACTGCCGCTGCTGAGGGGTTCTAGGCGCTCAGGTGAAAGCGGGGATTCCGTGTAGGAGCGTAGAAGGCTGGCGCCCGATTCCGACTTGAGCGGCGCATCGCCGTAGGCTGCGCGCAAGCTCTGCAGGCTCTCCAGCAGATTCTTGTGGTGCATTGTGGTGGCGTTCAGTTGGATAAGTTGCTCCAGCTCCCTATACAGCAACCGATACTGATCCTTGGCCTTAGAGAGCTTTAGCCTTAAACAAAATGGAAACAAGTAATACAAATCAGTATTAAACTAATTCTTAACTTATTACATTCATTCATTATTCAGGCTTAATACCTACCTCGCTCCATTGGTATGGGTGAAGGGCAGAACATCGCCGCGCGATGCGCTTTTGTATAGCTCGTGAATGTGTTGCTGGCAACGCACCTCCTCCTGCTTGTCCATGTCCTCCTTGACCAACAGGTGCAGGAAGTGCGGCAGCCAACTGATCTGCCGCTGCAGGTGGAATAGTATCGAGGAGCTGGTGGTTAGGGGAAAGTACCGTGGTAATCGACGCGCCATATTGGGAGCAGCCGGATCCTTAACTTTTAATGGCACCATGCGCGACATCTTGATCAGCTGGCCGAGCTCAGCGGTGCGGTAGTCCGAGACGCGGCCACCTGGGCCATCGGCGATCGCTGGCGCCTCATCCATGCAGGAGCGCGTGATGCACAGCGAGTGGACAAAGATTTCTCCACCGCGGGCAGACAACATGTGGCTGGTGGCCTTGGAGCCGGTCTTGCGTGGCATCTCCAGCAAAACCGAGCGCCCGTTGAGCAGGAAATTGATCAGGCAGGAACTTGGTCGCGAGGTCACGTCCACAGGAGTCACTAGGAACTGACCCAGGCAGGGCTGCAGATCCGCCGAGCCGCAACCGCGCGGCGTACACCACTTTAGCGTCACAGTCTCGTACGTGGCACCCTGCTTGATGCTCGTGGGCAGGCTGAAGTCCGGGCCACAAGTAATGGAGTGGGCTCGCCGGCTGTGCAGGATTTCCACGTCATAGTTTGCGCTGGAATTGGCGTTCTGCTCCTCCTTCATGGGTATATTGGTCACCGTGGTGCTGGCCAGGTCATAGTGGTTTAGGATCAGATGCGTCAACTTGTACGAGATGTCCGGGGCGCTAACCGTGTGGATCTCGACGTCCAGGAGCGGTGAGATTTTGAGCAAACTGCGATTGGTGACCAGCGATTCGACGCCCAGAGGCACAATGTTAAGAATGACCAAGTGGCAGTGGTCGATGGACAGGCCCTTTTTAGCAGGCGGCGCTGCTAGGGCGTTTTGCTGCACCAGAACCGTGTTGAAGATGTCCTCCAGGCTCTTCATGCTTGTGTTGTCCCGCGCCGAGGTAATGCAGATGACACGGCCCTTGTTGGGAATGCGGGTCAGATCTTCGGGGCCAAAGTCAGCAACCGCTGCCATTTGCTCATCCGTGGGCTCGGCCAGAGCCTCGATGGCTGCCCTCAAGCCGTGGATAACCGAGTAGTCCGAGGATTGGGGCATGTTGCGCGACGGCACGCCCACCATTACCATGGCGTTCATTACGTGTGACATGTTCTGCGTGCTGGGACTCCAGGTATTCACGATGTGCGCCGCCGTGTCCGAAACGATGAAGCGCACGTGCTTCTTGCCCGGAAAGAGGTCCCAGACCACGCGGCAGTACTCAATGGAGGACTCGCAGGCGCACGTCCACAGGCTCTTGCTGAACTGGGATCCACCGCCGCCTCCTCCTGCATTTGTAGCCGCTCCTGGTCCTCCGCCGTCTACCGAGGGCTTCCCCTTGAGGAAATCCATAGAGATATACTCCTCGCTGGCAATGCTGAAGTACCGTGTGTGGTCCAGCACGAAGATGGTTTTCTGATTACGTTCGAACATGGTGGGCTCGCCTATGCAGCTAAAAACGCAAGGAAATCAAACAAATGGCAAATCTTAATTGTTTACAATTCTTGTTCACCGCGAACAGCTGGTGTGGTGAGTTTTACCCGGCGCAACTTTCTGGCAACGCCCAAAACCTAATAATCAATCCGACATTCGCCCGTTATCGTTTTACTGAATCTGGCCACATTAGTTGAGAATCACGTTGTTGGATGTAAAAGCAAAAGCTGTCAAAATTTCGTAATATTTTCTAAACTGTTTTTTTGTCCCAAACACTGAGTGAACCGCGCGATCAGCGCACGCCAAAGTAGCAGCACCATGTCGTGGCTTTTGGGCAGAAACCGCCAGCAGCCGCAGCCAGAACAGTCGGCTGGTTTTCCGGATGGAGGAGGAGCCGATCCGGAGGGCAGGACGGCCGGCGACAAGTCTGGGGACGCTCAGCTGAGCCGGGCGGAGCGTAAAGCCATGGAGGCGTACCGCTTCGATTCTTCGGCTCTGGAACGGGCGGCGGATGCGGCCAAGACCCTGGAACGTTCAAGTAAGCGGAAAATTTCATCAGCCAATTGCGTAACCGACATGCGCCATGCTATCGCAGCGTGCGTGTGAGTCTGCGAGTTAGAGTCCATGTCCATGACCCATGTTAATCTCGCGCAGAACACGCCCGGGAGGCCCTCGAGTTATCGAAGATGCAGGAGGCCACCCGGCAGACGGAGTACAACACCAAGGTCAAGGAGTACGAGGCCCATATCGAGCAGGCCAAAGTCGAGCAGAAGCGCATAGACCACGAGGAGCGCCGCAAGACACTCATCGAGGAGACCAAGCAGCAGCAGCAGCGAGCCCAGTACCAGGATCAGCTGTCCCGTAAGCGCTATGAAGACCAACTGCAGCAGCAGCAGCGTGTCCAGGAAGACAATCTGCGCAAGCAGGAGGAGAGCGTCCAGCGCCAGGAGGCCATGCGCCGCCAGACCATCGAGCACGAGATCGAGATGAAGGAGAAGAACCGGCTTAAGCTCCTGGAGCACGAACTGCGGGCCAAGGCACGCGTGGATCGCGAGAACAGGGACATCAATCTGGAGAAGATCCGACTCAAAGCGCAGGAGCATCGCACCACTGTCCTGGAGGGCATCAAGTTAGTTAGATAGTAAATTAACATGAACATAATAATTGATTTCCTATTCCTGAACCATAGAACCGCTGGCACTGTCATTGGCGCCGGCGCGGAGGCCATGCTTACCGACTGGGACAAGGTGCTGACCGCCGCCGGAGGACTCTCGCTCCTTGCTCTGGGCGTGTACACGGCCAAGGGCGCCACCGGTGTGGTTTCTCGATATGTGGAAGCGCGCATTGGCAAGCCCACGCTGGTGGGGGAGACGTCGCGTTTCGCCTTCCTGGATGCCCTGAAGAACCCGCTCAATTACCTGAAGAGGCTGCGGGCCAAACCGGCCGATGCCCTCCAAGGCGTGGTGCTAAACCCGAAGCTGGAGGAACGTCTACGCGACATTGCCATTGCCACGAAGAACACCCGTATCAACCGGGGCATGTATAGGAACGTGCTGATGCACGGTCCACCCGGAACGGGCAAGACCATGTTCGCCAAGAAGCTGGCCGAGCACTCTGGCATGGACTTCGCCATTATGACCGGTGGCGATGTGGCGCCCATGGGTAAGGAGGGCGTGACGGCCATCCACAAGGTGTTTGACTGGTCGCACACCTCTCGCCGCGGACTGCTGCTGTTCGTGGACGAAGCTGACGCTTTCCTGCGTAAGCGCTCCTCGGAGAAGATCTCGGAGGATCTGCGTTCCGCTCTGAACGCCTTCCTGTACCGCACTTCCGAGCAGAACCCAAAGTTTATGCTCGTGTTGGCCTCCAACACACCTGAACAGTTTGACTACGCCATCAACGATCGTCTGGACGAGATGGTGGAGTTTACTCTGCCTGGCCTAGAAGAACGCGAGCGCCTCTTGCGACTCTATTTCGATAAATATGTGCTGCAGCCGGCCGCTGCGGGTGCCAAGTATGTATAAGCTCTTTTTTCTTCATTGCTTGCTGTTAAATATGGTCCCTATGACCGCAAAATTGAGAAGTGGCAAGCGGAACCAGTTATATTCAATATGCAATTATTTTTAAAACAAATTTTAGGCGTTTCAACCTAGACACCTTTGACTACGGACAGACGTGTTCGAAGATGGCCGCTTTGTGCGATGGAATGTCGGGTCGAGAAATCTCCAAGCTGGGCGTTTCCTGGCAAGCGGCAGTCTATGCCTCCGAGGATGGGCTGCTTACCGAAAAGATGGTGCTGGACAGGTGCTACTCCGCTGCTCAGCAGCACAAGCAGAAGGTGGGCGTTAAAACGTGTATTAAATCCAGCTCTTGTCAATATTAATATATATTTTTTGCAGATGGCCTGGCTCTCGGATCAGGAGCGTGCGGACCACAAATCCATTTCGGGCGCTGTTTCTCCGCCCCTTACCCTTACTGCCAATAAACTGTGAGGCGCGGAGGACTCGATGTCGAAGTAGTTGCAACCTGCATTCAAAACTTGTTTAGTTTTCTAACGATTTAATTTAAGTTGGTAACGCACAGGGCTTTATCTTACTACCGGATACCAAACAGCAGCCGAGACACCAAACAAGTGCATATCGGTTACACATATATGCATTTAACAGCCTGTACAAAATCGTTGGCGGAAGCACGTGTTTGTCTATAGATGCAATTAAGTTTTACCCACTGATAATTGTATTATAAGCTTGCATTAACTGTCTCAATAGTGTATACAATAAGAGGTATATATTTTAAACTGCTGGTGTTGCATTTCGTATGTTAAAGCTTTGGACGTAGACTGTTAATTGAAACCCGCCGCGCCGGCACTGTGAGAGATTTATATTAAACTTCTCGCTGGCGCGGCCACCAATTTGACTTGTCCGCAGTGTTTTCCTATATATGAGTATGAAATAAATATATATAGATTACTTGTTAAAAATTGTATTTTAATTTTTGCCCCTGCGAAGGGTATTATAATTTTAGTTTTAACGCAGAAAAGGAGACGTTTCCGATCTTAAGGTACATCTATTTTTGATCAGAACCACCTGGTGAGTTGATCTAGCAATATTTATTTGCAATTAAACCGAGATAAGTCGTTTTTCATTTTTTACTGTGAAGTATTTAATTTTTTACATTTTCAAAAATTTGATTTTATTTTAATTAAAATCAGAGGACTTTATTTGATACTGTCATAGGAAAATTAATAGAAAAATCGACATAAATTCATTATTTGTCAACTGTTATGAGTTATATCAATATAAAGATGATATACGTCAGTTTAAAAAGAGTTCAATTAAAAAACAAGAAAGAAAGCTAACTTCGGGCGGAGCCGAAGTTGATATACCCTTGCAGAATATTCTGTAAATTATATTCTCCAAGACCGGATCGGTTATTCATATGATGCGTTCTTAATACTCATAAAAAATCCCAACTTCCTAACTTTAAAAACACCATTTCCAATCGTTCAGTTATATGGCAGCCATAAGATATAGTCGGCCGATCCTTATGAAATTTGGTAGGTTGGATTGATTGGCCAAAAATAAAACCCATAGAAAATCCCAACTTCCTAACTAAGCAAACACCAAAGCTATGGCATTTCCGATCAATCAGTTATATGGCGGCTATAGGATATAGTCGTCCGATCCTTATGAAATTTGGTAGGTCGGATTGATTAGCCTAAAATAAAACCCATAGAAAATCCCAACTTCCTAACTTTAAAAACACCAAAGTTATGGCATTTCCGATCGTTCAGTTATATTGCAGCTATATGATATAGTGGCCCGATCCGGCTCGTTCCGACTTATATACTACCTGCAATAGAAAGACAACTTTTGGGAAAGTTTCAAGCAGATAGCTTTAAAACTGAGGGACTAGTTTGCGTAGAAACGGACGGACAGACGGACAGACGGACGGACAGACGGACATGGCTAGATCGACTCTCCTGGTGATGCTGATCAAGAATATATATACTTTATAGGGTCGGAAATGTCTCCTTCACTGCGTTGCAAACTTTTGACTGAAATTATAATACCCTCTGCAAGGGTATAAAAATATATCTGCCATAGGAAGCATCGAAAAATGTATTGGATAATCGACATAACTTTGTTTATCGTCGTTTATTAAATAATACATATTTATTATTGCTGTTTAAAGTTGTTTGAATAGGAAAATCGACAAAACTTCATTATTATTCAACTTATATTACTTTAAATAAATATGGTCGTTTATTAAAAAATACATTTTTATTATAGTGGTTTAAAGTTGTTTATAAAGTAAAGAATATATTTCTGGCTTTATAAAGTATATATATAAATACCACCTATGGGAGTCGAGGGGTAAATCTTTTCATACTGACCCAGTTTTATAAGATTTTAACATTGAACTATCCTAATCTTCTACTTTTATAGTAACTTAATTTAATTTTCTTCTACTTATCCGGTCTATGGCATAATAAAAATCACTTAGGTTTTTAATTTCTTTGTTTTTATAGATAATTGAGTATATCCATATATGGGGGTTTTATATGATTGACAAGTGGAATTAAATAAAAGCTGTGGAGTATTTAACAAAGCTTTCATAAAATGTGGCATGGTTATTGCATAAAACAAAACTATGACATTTTTTTCATTTATATTTTTGTATTTTATTTTTTTTAATAATTCTACTGACCATATATATAAATTTTGAAAAAATAACAGTATTTGCAAAAATACCCTAAAAAATGTCACAGTGCGCCACACGTTGTCGGCGTTTCGAGGCGAATGAAAAAACGGGCCGAGCGAGAAAATGGCGTAGAAGCCCAGGAAAATTCATCTCGTTTAAAAAACCTAAAAAACAAGGAAGACTTAGCAAATATTCCAAGCTCTGGGCAGAGATGTTTCCCGGAGGAAATGGCAACGCCGACATGGGCTACAACAAGCACGCCCACGTCCACGGACACGGACTTGTCCACGGGCTCAACCATAATCAGTTCCTGGGACAACCCCCGCCGCCACCCACACACTTTCCCCTGCCCCCGGGTGGAGGTCAGGGCATGGTGACCCCCCTCGTGGCCGCTGGTCTTCCGCTCGCCATGCAGGGTGGCGCCGGCATCGATTGGGCGCAGCTCGCCCAGCAGTGGATCCACATGCGAGACGCTTCCCCGGTCGCCATGCCCGTGGCTCCTCCACCGCCCATCATCGGTAATGTGCGGGAGTACCACAACCAGACGCAGCCGATGCCGCTGCCCAGTGTAGTCAGGGCGTGCCATCCAATCCTCGAGGAGCACGGAGAGGCGGACATGGACATGGACGACGAGCATGAACGGGGACATGGCGCAGACACACCTCCACCGCCGGCTCCAGTTGTTACGCAATCCCAATGGATGGCGGTCAGCGAGGCCCCTGCCCAGGCCGTAGAGGCCTCCAGCGGAGCGGGTGAGTGGAAATCTGAGTTATCTAACAAGGTCGATAACCGTACCCGGCTCCCCCTTTGCAGCTGCCACGCTGGGTAAGCAGGCATGGAACAACTGGCACACGCTGCCCGGCAAATCCACGGGCAATCCCACGGCGCATATACCCTCGCTGCTCAAGCTCAACGTCAGCAATCCAAATGAGCCGCAGCAACAGCTGCAGTTGCAGTTGCAGGCACCGCAGCAGCAGCCAACGCATCCTCACCATCCACAAGCACATCAGCCACATTCGCATCACCCACCACCACACATACAGCAGCAGCAGCATCAACAGCCACCGCAGACGCAGCAGGAAAGCGGAAGTGGCAGTGCCAGCAGTGAGATCGATGCAAACAAACGCAAAATGTTGCCAGCTTGGATAAGGTGAGTGCCCCAACCTGCCTGGAAGTGATCTATCTAGCCGACCTTAAAGGCGCTAGTAAAAATGTAAATTTCATATAGTATTCAAATGATATCAAAATACAATTTTGAGTAGCGGGCATAGTTTTATTTCTATTTAAACACGCTTTTTTATTTTTTTAAATTTATACATTACCCTGTATTTCTTTCGAATATTAAGTCGAGAACCCTAAATCAACTGTATTTTTCAATTTGAAATAATTTAATTTAAAAAGATTCTTAGATTTCATCGATAATGAATTTTTAAACATTTCAGAGAGGGCCTGGAGAAAATGGAGCGCGAAAAGCAGCGGCAGCTGGAGCGCCAGCAGCCCTCTATTGGTACGACAGATGATGAGGTCAATCATGTTAAGCAAGTATCAAGCAAAACACTAACAACACCTGTTAATCTATTGAACATCGCGAACGTGGTAAGTAAGGTCGGGGCTTGCAGGGTTAACAGACTCTTAATACGGACCGAAAAGTGCCGAAAGTGTTGCACACATCTCACCCCAATTGGTTAAACAATAACCCAAACGGGACAGAACTAAACTGAAATTGTAGGCGAAACAAAAACCCAAACTTGAAATGAGACAGACAGTAGTGCAGACTGCAGATAGAAGTGCAGACTGTCTATTAAACATTCCCTTGAAATTCAGGCTAGCGACAGCGAAGATTCCATTGGCTTGCCTGGGGAGGAGACGCTTGGAGAATTGAAGGATCAGCAAATAGGTAATGAATTAATAAGTAAAGACGGCGATATCAGCAGCAGCGACGAACGGGAGGAAGACCAACGAGGCCCCACCGAAACCGGAAAGCGGGAGGCGGCGGAGCAAGTAACAGCGGCAATTGAAAACGATGTCAATGGTAAAAACTACGAAGAAAGACTGGCGGATCTGGTAGGCATCACCATTTGACCCGGATGTTTGCTCAGCCAGGCGATGAAATAGAGTGAGTCTCAGAGGAGAAGGAACTGCGGAATTCCGGCGACATTGGCTGCTCTGCAGTTCGTTCACTCTTCACTAGAGTTTCATTCCCTGGTTACCGGCGGCACATCCAAATCCATAATTGCAAACAATCTATGAACACCCAATACCACCCATCTGTAGATGCTTGTGGTTCGTCGGACACTAACCGAAATCCTGCTGGAAACCACAAACGAAGAGATTGCAGCCATTGCAGGCGAGACTTTGAAAGCACACCGTGCTAAAGGTACATTATGCATTACATTTAAGTTTACCCCAAACCGATCTCTTCCAGCGTTCGCGTGTGTGTGTGTGTGTAAGTAGTTATAGAACGTAAGATGGCGCGGATATATCGCGGACTCTCGCTATCCGATCCTAGCTTTGATGACCGGATGTTTCGGCCAAGCGATTGCATTCGAACTTTCGGCGAGCGCGTTTCCACTTCTTTTAATCTTATGTCTTTGCTAATCTTTGAATCCCCATAATGAACTGATATCAAACACCACACAAACCAATGAAATCACTTGCTGAATTTTTTAATCGTAATATATAATATATAACTATATATATATGTATGTATGTGTAAATCAAAAGCGTCATCAGCCCAAGTGATTCGCAAAAGCGCCTTGTCCTCCATTACCGGCAACTTGGGTAAGTAACCAAATTCTAGTTTAGTACGTAAGTTTCCTTTGCACAATTTTTGTTTAGAGGTAGTCTGAGTTATGCTTGATCCTCTCTTTCTATACCCCGAATCCTTATGACAACATAAAAATATGAATAATATTGGATATTCCTCTGGAAAAGTTGTAACTTCCTATGCTTAATGTAACTTTAAGCCAAGGCCAAATTGTTTTCCAAACCCTTGGCGCAGTTTGGTCTTTCTAGTTCGTTTCTCCGCCATTTCTCTTCCCTTTCCCTACCCTTTTCCGTAAAAACTTCTACAAAAAAAATATCGAAAATCAAATCAAAATATTTCAAAAACTGCGCCCAATCTACATTAAAGCCTGGTAGCAACAATTAGCACTTGACTGATTTGAATTATAGGTTTAGCTGCCTATGGCGATTCTTCCAGCGAAAGCGAAGAGGATGAGAATGACGGAGATGGCGAGCGCCAAGCGGATGCTGGAAAGGATGGCGACAAAAGCGTTCATATAAGCGCGGAGGAGTTGAAGGTTGGTATTGAAACTAAAATCCGAGAAATAGTTTTTTAAAAATAATCAAAAATCGAGTGCAAATTTGGAGCTATGTTCTTAATAATATTTAATATTCTTAAACGAAATGGATAAATCTATTTTTATTCAATTAAAGAATTTAACCCGTAGTGTATTGATGTAACCATCGTTGTAAATTAAATTATTTTTTTAATACTGCGCAGCAAACGATAAATAAAAATATCAACATAACAATATTCTTTATTAAAGAAAATAATAAATAAATAATAATAAAATAAATCATTTACATTAATTTTTGAATTATGGTACTGAAAATTATAGTATTGAAATATCCTTTCCTTTAAGGCTCGCATACGGCGCAGCAAACGATCCTTCGAGCGAGTCATTGACGACATTGAAGATCGAGTGGTCAAACAAGAGCAGCTAGATGAGCAAACTCTGCAGCGACATCGCAAGCGGGAGCTGGAGCGCTCCGACGCCGGTGCTAGCGAGCATCGTCGCCCGCTGGCCAAACCGGAACCGGCCGGCGATTTGGCCAGTCAACCAACCCATGAAAAGCTGCTGCAGTTCAATGGTTTGTGGAGCTTATAAGTATTATTAAAACTGAACTAATAATTTTCTCTAATCAGGCAAACGACCCAGCCGGAAAGAGCGCACCACTCGCTTCAGCGACAATAAGGACGGCAAGCATCAGTCGCAGAGCTACGTCCAACAAGTGGTGGCAGCTGCCTCTGTGGCTCCACTGAACACAATGACCAGCAGCACAGGTCCCCCAAAGCTGAAGCCCGTTCCAAATCCGGCCACCAATCTGCTACAGATGCCAGAGTCTGTAGCCAGCATGCTAAGTGCGGCGGACAAGGCGCTTCAAAAGGCCAACAAATCGTCGCGCAAGTCGAAAAGCAAGCGTCGGCACTCGTCCACCTCCTCCTCTAGTAGCACGAGTAGTGGGAGCAGCTCGAGCAGTGAAAGCGACGACAGCAGCAGCAGTTCCAGCGGATCCAAGACGTCCAGCAGTCGCAACAAGCGAGTCGGCCGTCATGGACACCGTAGTCACGGCAGCAGCCGCAGCAAATATGAGCGTCGCGATCGCGACAGAGAAAGGGATCGGGATCGGGATCGGGGTCATCGCCAGCGCCGCAGCCACTTTAGTGGTGGCAGCAGTAGTGGTGGTCATCGCCAAAGGCAGCGACGACATGGGGACTCGAGCCACTCCGGCGAGGATGAGGGCGGCAGTAGCAGCTACCACCGCTCCTCGCGACAAAGCAGTAGCCGCAGCTACGAACACGGCAGCAGCAGCAGTGGACGGAAACGACACCGCACAAGATCCCGCTCCAAGTCGCGCAGCACACATCACTCCAGCTCCAACGCATACTCATCCACTTCTTCCGCGTCGCATCCGCGCAAGCGCCACTAAGATTACGACCACAGCTAATTGTTATATTGCATAATTATCTTTTTCCCCTGTTTAAGATGCTTTCAGTAAACCGTTTTAATCCAGCTTAATAAATTTCATAAAGAAAATTTTTCTAAACTGGATTTTCATACTGGGTGCAATATTGTTTTACCTTTTGAAAAGGGACTTATAAATCCAATGGTCCAATAATCTATCGATTATTCATTAGTCTATTTATTTTCAATTAGTCGGTCCTTTCTGTGAAAGTATAACGATTAAGTCGTTGATTTGATCGCACCGATAAATAAACAATTCTTTCATTTAAAAGTTTATGAAAATATTGAAATCCTAATTAAAATACAAGATTTTTTAAATTTAAAAATAATTTATTTCTCATATTGCTATGCAACAAATTGGCTAACTTAAGACTGGGGTTTTCTATTAATACTATGATTTCCATTTATAACATTAAATAAAAACATTTTGATCAGTCTCAAAAACATAAATTAAATTATAAATAAACCTATTAATGAACAAATATTAATTTCTTTGGCTTTAGTCGACCTCCTCGACCGTGGGTCCAGAGTAGCTGCCGAAACCTCCGGCCTGCTGGCTGCAGTTGGCACCTGGTCCGCCAGCTGCTCCCGCGCTCGCTGCCTGCTGATGCATCTTTGTCATGATTGGGGAACAGTGGCGGGTGAGCTCCTCCAGTTTGTGATCGAACTCCTCCTTCTCAGCGGTGGTGTTGCTGTCCAGCCACCGGATAATTTCGTTGCACTTTTCTAGGACAGAGCTCTTGTCGGCCTCGTCTAGTTTGCCAGCGGCTGCCTGCTCCACCGCCTGCTTAACGTTGAAGACGTAACTCTCCAGGGCATTTCGAGAGGTTATGCGCTGGCGCTGTTTCTCGTCTTCATCGGCGTACTTCTCAGCCTCGTTCACCATGCGGTCAATCTCGGACTGCGAAAGGCGTCCCTTGTCGTTCTTGATGGTGATGTTCTTGGCCTTGCCCGTGCTCATCTCCTTGGCTGCGACGTTCAGGATTCCATTGGCGTCCATGTCGAAGGTCACCTCTATCTGGGGCACGCCTCTTGGCGCTGGTGGAATGCCGGACAGATCAAAGGTGCCCAGTGCATTGTTGTCCTTGGTCATCGCCCGTTCTCCCTCGAACACCTGAATGGAGACTCCAGGCTGGTTGTCCGAGTACGTCGAGAACGTCTTGGTCTGCTTGCACGGGATGCGGCAGTTGCGCTCGATTAGCTTGGTCATCACCCCGCCAGCGGTCTCTATTCCGAGTGAGAGCGGTGCCACGTCCACCAGCAGCACGTCCTGGATCTTGCCGCTCTGATCTCCGCTGAGGATTGCTGCCTGAACCGCCGCTCCGTAGGCTACCGCCTCGTCCGGGTTAATGGATAGGTTGAGGCTCTTGCCGTGGAAGAACTCCTGAAGCAGGCTCTGCACCTTGGGAATGCGCGTGGATCCGCCTACCAGCACGATGTCGTGGATCTGGCCCTTATCCATTCTGGCGTCGTTAAGGGCCTTCTCCACGGGCTGCAGGGTGTTGCGGAAAAGGTCTGCGCACAGCTCCTCGAACCTGGCCCGGCTCACCTTGGTGTAGAAGTCGTGGCCTTCGAACACGGCGTCGATCTCAATGGTTGCCTCCGTGCTGGAAGAGAGCGTGCGCTTGGCTCGCTCGGCCGCCGTCCTCAGGCGTCGTAGGGCGCGCGGGTTGGAGCGCAGGTCCTTCTTAAACTTGCGCTTGAACTCCTCAGCGAGGTGGGTGACTAGCCGGTTGTCAAAATCCTCCCCGCCCAAATGGGTGTCTCCGGCAGTGGAGCGCACCTCGAACAGCGATCCCTCGTCGATGGTCAGGATGGAGACGTCGAAGGTGCCACCGCCCAGGTCAAAGATGAGTACGTTGCGCTCCCCCTTGAGGTTTTTGTCCAGTCCGTAGGCCAGTGCCGCGGCCGTTGGCTCATTAATGATGCGGAGCACGTTCAGGCCGGCAATGTGGCCGGCGTCTTTAGTGGCCTGGCGCTGGGAGTCGTTGAAGTAGGCAGGGACTGTGATCACGGCGTCCGTGATGCTCTCGCCAAGATATGCCTCCGCTGTCTCTTTCATCTTGGTCAGCACCATCGAGCTGATTTCCTCGGGGGCGAACCGCTTGGCCTCGCCCTTGAACTCCACACCGATCTTGGGCTTCCCGCCGTCGCTGACCACCTTGAAGGGCCAGTGCTTCATGTCCTCGACGATTTTAGGGTCATCGTACTTGCGCCCGATGAGACGTTTGGCGTCGAAAACCGTGTTCCTGGGATTCATGGCCACCTGGTTCTTTGCGGGATCGCCGATGAGGCGCTCCGAGTCTGTGAAGGCCACGTAGGACGGGGTGGTGCGGTTGCCCTGGTCGTTGGCAATGATCTCCACCTTGCCATGTTGGTAGACGCCCACGCAGGAGTACGTGGTGCCCAAATCGATTCCAATAGCTGGCATTGTGTGTGTTTGCTCCTTACTTGGTAATGGGTAAATGGTAACTTGGGGTTTTCAGCTTGTTCTTGTTTTCAGTAATAACAGCTTCAGTAGATACTTGTACTTAATTCACTTTCAATTTGCAATTGGTTGCAGTTTAGTTTAGCTTTATCAGCTGCGTTTGTTTTGGTTTGCTCAACTTTTGCTTAGCGATGTTTTCCCTTTGCTTGTTTGAATTAAATTGGCGTTAAGAGCGGCGAGCGGCCCTATTTATACGCCAGCGCTCTCTTCGCGAACATTCGAGTCGTACTCTCTCGAAGCGTCGAGAAATGAGAGAGATAGCATGCTGCTGCAGCAATGGGAGCAAGGGAGAGCAGAGCAAGCTAAATTAAGAGAGGGTGCTTGTTTGTTGTTGGACTCGAAATTTCTCGACATTTCTCCGCGTCAAGCCAGTACCTACCGCAACAAATTTTTTAGTTTTGAGTTCTGGAAAATTTGCATTAATTGCTTTATATGCTTAGTTTAAATTTCGGTGTCTTTGATATTTTCTCGCCCAGTTTATACCGCGGATCGAACGACTATAGCTGCCATAGGAAGGTTTGGGTCAAAATATCTCAATTTCGTTGTCCTTTATGATTAATTTTAATACAAATTAATGACTTTATCCCAGAGAATAAAACCAAATCCCATTTGCTATGACGATCCTAAAATATATATGTACATACTAATGCAAATAAAAGACATTATCCATTTGGTTTCTTCATGATATTATTCTATTAATAATAATTTATACAATTACATATCACAGCAAAACCATACAATTTCCATACACAACAGTTTCATTTAAAAATTTGTTTTAAATTTTTCGGAATTTAAATTTAATCCTTCATATGGCAAGCTGGCATGGAGCCTCTGTTGTCCCTGACGGTTGTAGTAATTCAGCTCCTGGCTGGAATTTTCGGAGACGAATCTCAGCATTTTCCATATGCCAAGTTCATACTTGCATCGTAGTGGATTATGCTTTTGGGCTCCTTGCAGTACGAAGAAGGTGGGCGCAGATTCTACGGCAAACTTCTTGGGGGCACTTACTCCACGAATGTCCATTTTGTACAGACGGACTGACTCCTGTTTTAATTTATCGGCCAATCGCTCCAGAGTTATCATTAGACGAGTACTAACATCTGCGCTACTCTGCAGGGAGTTGAAGAAAGAGAGGGCTATATCTTAATCGGAGGCATATAAAAGTTCGCCCCAGCTGGCCAAATCTATATTCTCCACCCTGGGCTCTCTGCAGGCGGGTTCCCTCATGTTCCCTTTTATTACTTGTTTGTAAAAGTCACTTAGGCTTTCCAGTGTGGGCGATTTTGGTCCTGCAAAAATATCGATAGAATATAAAGTGAACTTTTACAGGGTAATAATAAAAAAAAAAAGTTAGTTTGGCAAAAGCTCTAACATAAATGTAATTTACATATTCCTAAGGATTGGTGCGAGAACTCCCGATACAATTGTTTGTGGTTCGCACATGTTAGGGGTGGTGAAAAATCTATAAATCTATGTACATATATAGAGGTATCATTTGCTCTGCCCGTACCTCTGCATGTCAATAGTTTTTACACCTCGCGAAATATCATCAATTCTTGCAAGGTATATCCGATTGTTCCTATGGGAGCTATAGGATATAGACGTCCGATCGGGGCGATTTTTAAACTTAATCTGCGTACACGTACATATTTAAGGACGTCTGTAAAAGTTTCAGATCGCTAGCTTTTAAACTGAGCTCGCAAACGGTATTGAAACAGACGGACAGACGGACAGACGGACATGACTATATCGACTCCCCTGTTGATCCTGATCAAAATTATATACCTTATAGGGTCGGAAACGTCTCCTTCACTGCGTTACAAACTTCTGACCAAAATTATAATACCCTCTGCAAGGGTATAAAAACTAATTAAAAAAATTTAAATGAACATATAAATTAATATTTAATTTAATTAAGGTGTTCTTATTCAAATGTAAAATATTATAATTATTCCTGGCCCAATGTTAAAATTAGTTCCTACAAATATATAAATTTACTCCCATAAGGAATTTAATTCCGTCCCACTTGTTGCCTTTCTAGTGAAATCAAATTCAAAGCAAACTGAAATGTGGACGTTGAATTCAGTCCCATGTGGACGTTGAATTCAGCCCCGTGTGGACATTGAATTCAGGCCCATCAAAGGAAAACAATAACAACATATTTGTAAACATTCATAAGGCCATTTCGGTCGCTCGGCCGCATTCCCCATAAGCCAAAAAAACCGCTATGAGAGCAACCAGTACAGCTGCAGAAACTCACCATGGATTCAAGTTCGATTCGAACAAATGAAAAACTCTCTTTTTTTCCGGGTTTCGCCTAGGTGGCATCACTGGAAATGTCACTCGAGAGCGCAGGCAGAGCAAATGACGCCTCTATACATTATTACTCTATGCTATTGTAAAACTCTATGGTCCCGTAGATAACAGTTCACCACAGTAAGCGGGGACTTACTCCGCAGGCTACTCTCTTCTCTCAACACTTTCTAGAGGTAGAGAAACACCAAAATGAGCATCATTAGTGGGGGAGCCAACCATTAGCGTAGACATCAACGCTATTACCTGCAAAGCATCGATATTACCAATGTTTTGAAAATATTGATGGCATGTAAGCACACTGCTGAAAAATGTAGACGGGGTATTGGAATTTTTTCTTAATTTCCTTAATTTGTACTTTATATATTTCGCCAGATTAGCAAACATTAAAATAACAGAGTGCGCAAGAACTGGAGTGGAACGTTAACGTGCGCAAGAGTTATCGATGATTATCTGTCAAACATCGATGTCACGAATATTTTCAAAACATCGATTGATGGCATCGCCGTTTCTTCACCTCTAAGGTGTTGGTCACACTGCTGAAAAATGTTGAAGGCGCGCGTCGCTCGCGTTTCATGAGCTCTCCGATCGCCGAGTTTCCCAGAAAAATTGCAACAAGTGCGGAGATCGTAAGTGACGTGTTGTTGTGATCGCTTTGCATCGAAATCGCGGCCTGTGAAAAGTGCTTTTTGTTTTTATTTCACCCATTTGGCGATTTCTCCATAATATTCGTATTGCCTTACGCACTTGGCTCTCTTTCGACGCCGACTGCGCAGCCGCCGCGACGCGAAATGTGCAACAACAAGTTAAACAGCAACTACCAACACAACGACAAAGTTAACCAATATTTAATTGCTGGCTTAATTTAATTAGCGGCCCCAAAGTGCAGTGCAAAATACGCAAATAACGAGAAAAAGCTGTTCACTCTGCTTTTCACCTGGATTACAAAACAGGATAAATTGGATTACACGGGCGACAAAGAAAGAGGTATAGAAAATTGATTCTCTTGATATTTATGAATTTTGCTACCCTCTCTGAACTACAAAAGCAACAATTGCCGTGTCCGGCTTAGCAACAACAAAAATAACAACGGCATTCCAACGACGTCTGCTTTGTTTTCCCTCACACACACACTCCAACGCCACCCGCTCCTCTTTAAGCTCTCTCTGTCCCACTCTCCCCAACAGGGGCAAAGAGACGCTTCCAGCGGGATGTGGTTTTGCGCTTCTTCTCTATTCTCTTCTTTCTTTGCAAGAAAAAGAAAAGGGTGCGTCGACATTTCTATTGTTGTTGTTTTTTGTGGTGGTATTTTTTATTTTGTTGCTCACCTTCATACGTTATCAGAGTGTTCATTTTGATCGTTTGTTTCGTTTGCGAGAAGTCTCCACTGGAGTTTGGTGCTCCCTCCCGCTTGCTCAAACAGTTATACCTGCGACCAGAGAGAGAGGAAGAGAAACCTGCGCATAAAACCAAGCAGCAGAAAAATCTCCAGTGGAGAGAGCCACTGGAAGATCGGAATTTTTAGTACTCTGCTCTGACTAACAGGTTTTTAGTAGTAGAAGCTTACATGCTTACTTTTCTACTACGATTTTTTTTGTTGCGGCTTACAATTCTGTTTTTCCACTCCCTCTCTCATTTTTTGCATGGCAAACTTTCGGTCATTGTACTGTTGTTGTCTTGCCCACCGCCAGAGAACAACAACAATTGGAGAAACACTGATACCCAATACCGTGAGGCTCCCCAAACTAGAACTTAGAATTTATGTTTCCTTTTTATTAATAAAAAGATATTTTTTTTTCACATTATGATATCTGAAATATAGACGCATTTTTTTATTTTAGATTTCGTTGTTACGATAAATGGTTTTTCTTTTATAATTTATATCGGTTTAAATGTATAATCGGCTAAATAAAAATTTTCTTAGAAAACGTAGACAAGTCACTAGGGCATTTGTAAAGCTTTATAACGATTTTTTTGGTTTTAATAAATAATAATAAATAATGTTTTTTTTAATAACTAGAAGCGAAAGCCGGAAAGCCCTTTTGGAATTAGGTTTTTTTTAAAGGGGAAGAAATAATTCTTATTTTAATCGTTCAAATGTTGTTCTTAATGATTGGCCATGTCGCGGATTCAGAAATTAAAGTTGTCTTTAAAGCTATTGTTCACTGTACCTCCACAAGCCTGTTCCTCTGTTTCTCATTCTCGCCCAGCTCCATTTTCGCCTTTTTTCGCACACCTCACTGCATGCGACTGCAATTTTGTGCAGCTGAACTTTGTACTTCTCTTGTTTTTCGCATGACTCATGAGTTTATTTTATTTTGGTTTATTTTTCACTTATTCGGAGTTTGAATGAGTAAGATTTGGCGGGGAAGTGGCAGAGGTTGTAAACAGTGTTACCTGAAATATTATCAATGGGCACGTTCCAAATTCCAATTACCTTATCGCGGGTTATGTTGCCCCAAAAAGAGACGAAAAAAGATAAACCGAAATTGTATTGCCCCACAAACAGTGACACAATGCAATTGCATTGACAGCAGCTGATAAGGAAGGCGAAGAAAAAATTAAAATTACCACTTCCCAGAAAGTACACTAAGCCAATACATAAAGCTAAATAAATAAGGTGAATAAATACCAAAAATGAAAACAAGTGCGGGGTGAATTCAAATGTAGGACGGCGATCCACTAACGCCCATGCACACTGAAAAAGAAAGAGAAACTGGCCCACGAACACAGATCCATAGGAGCATACATATGTGTGTGGCTACACAGGTGGAAGATAATCTAATTACGCCACAGCATAGAGTCTCAATCCAAACAGCGTACCAAATCAAATAAAATATTGGGCAGCCGATAAAAGAATTAGTGAAATTGATGTAGATCAAGGAGTGAAGACCAGCCGAATGCCCTGTATGGCTTAGAAAGATATTCAGTCCTTAAGGACATTTCTGTTTTTAATAAAAAGGAAGGATTAAAAGGACTTAAATTATTTTATCTTAAACATTTTATTTGCGCTCTGTCAAAATTGTCTTAACAATTTGATCATGGGTAATGTGCTTGTTAATTATTTTGTTAATTTACTGAAATAATTATTACAATTATATTTGTATTGTTTCTTATCATAAAATGTATTTGAATGAAAAAGAAATTAATATATTAATAAATTAAATTATTATTCTATTACAAAAAAAAAGGTTTTTGAAACTTAAAAAAAAAACAATAATTGTTTTCATTCGTATTGTGAACGCATGTATATTTAGAGCAAACTAGATTGGGGTTATCAAGTTAGTTTTAAGGTAGGCACATAAAATTGACCCATCAAGAGGAACAGAAACATTATCAGAAGTACGTAACAGTTAAAAGCCAGAACAGTAGATAAGCTCTAAGGCGTTCTGTATGTACATATGTATGTACATACGTTGGTCAACAGTTAGGTGTCACTGCCAATTATTTTGCCTTTAACTATAGCAACTTTAATCAATCACTAAAAAATTTTAGATGCACAGAAAAAAAAATTACAATTAAAAAAGTTTACAGAATAATGGCGCAAAAAGGTAATTATTCCGTGGTTTATATTGGGAACTTAAAATATATACTAGATATAAAGAATGAAACATTTTGAAAAAATATGCATCTACCTTTGAGAATTTTAATTAATATTGCTTATAATGCAAACTACTTTAAATAATTAAAACCAGCTAGAAGAATTTCTAAATATATTTAAGCAGCTTAACATATTTTTTGTGGGATATGGACATCTCCTCTTTAGACAAGTTAGTGTATTGGTTATTCTGTATTTTAAGTTTCCTGCTGCAATTTAACGCACCAATGGTCTCACAATCTCCGCACTATCGCACTCTTACTTCTCCAATCTTTTATTTTTGCGCCTATTTGGCAATTCCTCAATCGCCGCTTGGCGCGTAATTGGACTCTTTTGCGTTTCTTGATTCTCAAATGCAAAATGTTTATTTTTGGCTTTGGCTTTGTGTTTGCATGATCACCGCCCTCTTCTCCGCCTTTTGTTTACTTTTGCTTTCAGCGCTCCACCGATACTTTTGTGGTTCTGCCCGCCGAATTCGTTTTGCACAAAATTGTAGTTTATTATGTTCTGCCTTTTTGGGGGAGTTTTAGCTGGAAATCCGAGCTTTTGTCCGTGCAGCTGTTTTCGAGTTATTTTTGTTTAATCGTTCTATAGCTGGATGGTATGCATAAACAAAGCTCGTGTGGATTTGCTAATAATAATTCATAGGAAACCATAAATATCATATTCTAAATGAGCCTTGCAAACAGAAACAAAATAAAAACCTGTCATGCGGATCGGATATTTTTTAATTTACTCAGTGGTATTTCATTATATTAAATATAGTTGTATAGTTTACTTAATTGAATGATAAATAAATATAATAATTGTAAACGTAAAGAGAAAAGAAATTATACCATTTTAAAGCCCAAAAATGTGTTTGAGTAACTTGATTTTTTTTAGCAATACGAATCTTATTTCATAATTAGTACATTTGTAACTATTGATCCTTGTATAAATTTAATAGTCATTGAACTAAGAAACTAAGAACTTACCCGGTTGTGTGCGGGTCAGTGCCACGCCCACTGTTCGGGCCGTAGGCCAATTTCCGCCCTTTAAAGCTTAAACGTGCGCAAACCCGTTTCGCAAATCGAATGCTGCGCCAGTCACTCACTATCGCAATAGTGGGCTATAGCTCACTCGCTCGATCGGCTAAGAAACTCGTTTTCTTCTGCCGCCTGACCGTGATTTTATTTTTGTTTTGTGTGCTTTTTGCTGCCATTTCTGTAGTATGCTCTTTTTCTGTTTGGTTTTTTTTTCGAGTGAGTGAGTTATTGTCGTAAACCGATCAGACTTGACTGCTAATGTGTGTGTGTGTCTACGCGAATATTGTTCCACTTTGTTTGCATTTTTTATGCGCGCGGTTTCATGTGAGAAAGTTTTTATATCAGTTTGAGTGCGCATATCCCGCTGATCACCGCCCTGGACAATTGGACATAGAAATTTCCCATCGGTAGCTGCGGGTCTCGTTGCACATCTTCCCGCACATTTTACACGCGGTTAAAATTACACAAGACAATAAACTCTAGTTAGTCAACCAGAAAAAAAAATCTTGAAGCTTTTCTGCACTTCACAAGATGTAGAGACAAACAACATATTGCCTATTCAGATAATCTGTTGAGGGTATTCAATTGGTGTATGGAATTTATTGGCACTATAAAAACTGCCATCCGCAGAAAATGGAAAAATTCATATATTCGATGAAATCGCGATTGGAGGAAGTTTGCGCTGGCAAAGGTTACCATACAAAATATTAACATGCTACTCTTTACAAAATAAGAACACTTTAAATTTTTGTCAAAACACTTTCCTTACAGTATGAAAACTGAATGTTATTTGTTTTTATTTATTTTTAAGAAAGTTAACTAAAGAAATTATTTTTTGTGTTCATAAATCATCTCTAAGATACCAACATAATCATAATTAAATTTTAAAAATGAAAAACACTGCAAATTTTCTTTTTATCGTATAAAAACTTGATATATGGCATTTTTTCCATTGTCAAAACACTTATTGTAGCTTCATTGTTTTTAGTAATTTAGGCATAGAAATCGAAATGTAGTTGTTTTGTAATAACTGCAAGGTTATATAAAATTCGGCTTCTTTACTACTTTTAAGATCGTGTTCTTCTAAGAGTATCATTACTTCGTAATGAGCTTATAACACAAACAAATTCATCGGTATGTTTCAATAAAGGCAATATATGTTTCAATAGCATAAATGCTGCCACCCTGCTTTCTTATTGCGTGCAGTGAAATATTTGTAATTCCGGCGTTCTTCAGTGTAGGGACTATCCATCTCGAAATTCCCCTAGTACATGTCAATTGTCAGTTGGTCTAATGTAAACGTGTACGCCATAGTAATCTGCATTTTCTGGACCGACTGCCATGGGGATTAACAGAGCAGTCAA